TTCTTCATCAAAAACAGGAGGCTGCCTCTTGCCTCCCATTTTTGCTGGCTTTGATATGAGCAGGGGGAGACACTGTGACACAAGAAAAGCTGTATTTTGTGTTCTCTGTTCTGCTTGCTTTCTGACGGGAACAACTGCATGGAAAGTAACGCTCACCCCTGAAAATGCGTGATGGAGCGTGTCCAGTTTATATAGAAACTTCATTGACTTTACCAGTGAACGTCTGTCAAGTTTTTAATGAGCATGTATGAAAAATTATTTTCAGAGGTTTATATTCTAATCAAAATTGGACATAGTATCACAGGAACAGGGGAAGATACAGAAACCAGCCTGTTGGCAATCTTCATAAACTGGTCTCCAAAAACTGGAGGCTGTGGAATCTTAGAGTAATGCAACCGTGAGTTGCTTTTAATATATGTAAATCTGTGTATTCTTCTTGAATATTATCCTTTAAAAGAGACAGAATACAATAAAATAATGACATTTAGGAAGACATGAATTGGAGAACTTCATCTGAACAGTTATGAAAACTGAATCTAGAATGCAATAGTGTAGGGGAAGCAATTACCAGTTCGTGCTACCAGATGTGGCTATAATGAGTAATTCTATAGACTCCTCAAAAGTTGGGAAAAAAATTGTTGCAATATCAGAACTACTCTTTATTTCTCATCCGCCCTGAAAAATCCTCTTTTTAGACTTCTCTCATTTTTGAGCAATGAAAACTGCAGTATAAATCTGGGAGGAATTGGTTTCTGTAATCTCTTAGCTTACTTTTACATTAGGACAATTTCAGAAATAACGATTTACTCTTTTATGAAAATTTGGTGTCAGGGTTCGGAATTAGACACAAATTCTACCTACAAAGCCCTTACAATTAGCAATTTTTGAAATTACAGGTGCTAAAAATGAAAAAAGTGTATAATCTTCAAAACCCTTTAATACTCAATACTTTAAAACTTGCATATATGTACACCAATTCTGGAGACTGTAAACACTTAGGCAGAAGCCAATTCTGAAGAAAAGGGTTTTTTTGAATTGAGATACTATAGGAAAGTTTCTCTTTGTTAACTGTGTTACAACTACAAAAGTAATTTACAAATACTACATTCATTAAGGTTCAACACTTTTTCATTGCTTAATTTTCATGCCCCTGCAAAATGAAACAAGGCAGCACTCAGCTTTTGTTTTTATAGTTTAAAACATCAAAGAACTTGACACAGGACTAATCTCAGCTCAGAGAAGCTTCTCTACTTCCTAAACTGGACCATCAGATTCCACTTTTATAGTTTCATTATACTGAGATTCTCATCTTCAAAGAGTGAAATGGGAAAATGGTAGGCACCTCTGGGTTTTAAAAGTTCTGAGGGATAGGAAAACCTGCATGAGGCAATCAGACACCCAGGGAACTGTGAAGCTTGCATCTCCTCTGGGCAGTGGGAACCAAAAGCAGCTGTTAAGCCTGACAAATTCTTAAATTTCTTTTTTTTTTAAAGCTCAGGGAAGTAAACCAGCTTAGTGCTTAGCCAGATTAGTGCTTCAATGCTTGCTTTATCATTTACTGTGCATAACATTTGTAAATGCTGCAGTGCTAAATTGGCTAAGCTCTAAAGACAGTTTACATAATCAAGCATTAAACTTCAAATAGATAAAGCAAGGTCATTGCTGCCCCTAGCGCCAAGAAGAGCTCCTAAGTACTGTAAGATTTCTGGCCTAGTTAGCACGTTTTCAAAGTTCTTACTAGGACTCTCTTGATAATTATAAAAGCCCATTTCTCTACTGAAATGCAGAGGAACTTTACAAGAGAAAAGCAGCAGATGTTTTCTTTTTCCTGAAAAATCTTCAAGATTTGTAAGAAAGAAAGAAAAAAAAAAATACTTGTTGCAAAAACGTGTTAACACAAAGATCTAAATACATGTAAATTCCCATTGCATGGACTAAACTCTCCCTGGTTTAACATGCAGCATGTCAATAATGAACCTAAGATTGTTCTGTTTGTCCTCCAGAAGTAGCTAGTGCAGAGCACGGAACACTGCAGTCTATCTCATAGCATCATATCTCTTTATGAGCTAAGATCTACCCATTCTGACAAGATACTTATTCACTGGACATTGTGAAATCTCTGCGGCATTTTCTGATACATTTTGTAACAGGTAATTTAAGATCCAAAAACATATTCGCAGAAAAAAACCTCACAGCAAGCTAGCCTTATCCTCAACGGTCACAGAAACAGGTGGAAAAAATACTTAGTTTACGGTAACTAGCACTTCAGCTCGCATCACTCACATGATTCGCATTTAGCCTTTCTTCTCCGCTCCCTGAGCATGTATTTTATGGTTATCATATCTGCACCTGTATCATTCTCCATGAGAAAACAAAAAGGATAGAATAAACTCAGCCATCCCTTAGTTAACTTTGACAATACAAAGTGTCCCAAAATGACAAAGGAAAATGGACCGTGAAATCCATGTGAACAATATGTCAAGAAACACAGTTATCACAAGGTAGGAAACAGACCTTTCTCTTTCAAGTGCTTATCAGCATGGATTACAGTTTCTCATATCAGCAAGCTATAAGGAATCACAGTTTCACCTCCTCTAAACCCCAACTACTGAAACTCCCTGAGTTTCCCTTATTATGTTTCCTCTGTTATTTCCCAATTAATTTGAAACGGTTAAATTTTATCTTCCAGAAATATTTCTAGTCCTGTGCTGAAACGTGAAGACGTTAAAAATTTATTTGGTAGTTTGTGCCAGGAGAAGGGGGGAGGCAGGGAAAAGATTTGGATTAAAGACAAAATGATCATTGTGTAAGAAATCTGCAAAATTCTCTTTGGAGCACCTACAGGCATGTTTGATCCATTTCAGACACCAAGAATTCTATCAGTTCTTTGGTAAATCCACAGAAACTTTTCTACAACTTGATTTTGGTTTGATAATCACATTTTGAGTGAAGCTCCTGACAACAGCAATTGACAAACAGCATTAGCAAAACACAAACTCTTCCTCCCATGTAATTTAAATACCTCAGGAGCTTTCTCCCAAAGCAAAAGTTTCTTATAGCTTGAATGTTTTATGTATCATCTGCACTTTGAAAAGTAGTATGATACCAGGTTTACACAAAGTCACTGTCACTTACAGAGCTTGCCTCAGATATTTAGCTGGTACCAAATTTCTATAAATTTTCATTCACAAATGGAAATGATAAAACTATCAGGTACGAAAGCCTACAGAATGTCCAGTTATAGTTGACTTCTAACACTTTAACTGCAGTACCTAGAGAGTCAGACATGCTCCTTAAGCAGTCATGGACGCATTCAGCTGTCTAAAACTAGCAGTGGTGGTGTTCTGCTGAAGAAGAAAGAAAATTTGTTTTATGAAACACTGCTCATCACTGGCAGCAGGTTCTCTAGGTTCACATATCCTCAGGGGAAGACATTAGCTCCGCGAATATAAAAACAGTTGAAGCTGATTTTACCCACTTGGGCCAAAGAAACCCACAGGCTGGAGACCAAGGACATCAAAGACAGCATGACTGGAATTTTGCAGATATCTTCTGAAACGTAGTGATAAGAGGACATTTTCTGAGAAAGAAAATTTCTGAAGCTTTCAGGTTGAAAGAGAAAATTGAGAAAGGTTTGACCACTGCAGTCAGGTCAGGGCTAAGAGAGACACATTGGCTATTATTTACTTCTTTCCTTTGAAAGATCCAGAAGGAAGAGTAAGAGGATAATTGTATGAGAACAAAATAGCAGGATAGCAGCACAGGGAATAATATCAAGAGGAGTACGGAGCTTTGCTTTATCTGTCAGAAAAATAGACTCAGCTGGCACTCGGGGGTATGTCTGCGCAAGTACTGCTTAGGTGAGCAGGTTATGACTGTCCTGTGTTCATCACAAACCCCACGGAAGTTAATGCTGAGATTAATGGGAATGTTTACAGCTCTCCTAGCTATTGCTGTAGTCTCTCCAATCTACCACCTCAAATAACCGTCATTGAATTGTTCATTATCTATTTATAACTTACTATTCATGGACACGAGGCCTAGGAAACTTTTTGTTGTTGTTTTGTTTCACAGCGAAGCTTCAATCTGAAAATAAAGTAGTTATTTAATGAACTCTGGTTTGGAGAAAAACTGGCGGCACCCAGTATGAGATAAAAGCCTAAAAAAGGCCAAGTGCATGAAGTTTTACCAGGATAGCAGCAGTTCTGAGGTTTGGGTAAAGCTTGTGGAAAGGAGCCCAAGTAACAGTTTCATCTCAAAAAAAAAAATCAAAACCAAAACCACAGCACACCGATGCTGAGTACTTCACATATTTGAATTAAGATGAAAGATCTTTTACTATACCATTTTGAATGTGAGAATTATTCATCATAGCATAAAACTTTTTATAAAAAATAGATAAATGATACTCGCTTTTTAATTATCTGTCAGGTGAGAAGCAGAACACAGGGATAAAGATTACTTTGTTATGTATTTCAAAAGTTATTATTTTACCCACCTACCAGGAAAGCCCCAAATCCCCTTTGCGGTACTGGTCTCCTTATTGCCATTTCCAGGCTTGGTCGGGCTGGAGGAAAGGCTGCTTTTAGCTACATTCTGACACATGGCACACAGTACATACCCCTTCTGCTTTTAACAGCCAAATTAACTGGCTTTGTAACTTGGTCAAGAACACGTGTTGCAAACATACACTAGTGTACAGAATTTACAGGGCAGCCTCTGATTGCTGAGTCTGTTCCTAGAGTTTCTGTTTTCATTTGACATTTTTTCCATGAACATGTTACTGCACGTTTAAAAATTATTCATAACAGAGAAGGAATATGAAAAACAACTTTTAAAATATTGATTAAAAGAAAAAAAAGTATCAATAAAGGATGCAAAAATGGTTTGAAGTACAGTTTTTACATAATTATACATAACATGCAAAAGCATCTTCCATTTAAAAACTATACAAAAATAACCCCCCAAACAAACAACAAAAAAACCCCCTGTTGACTAACCTTTATGTCTGTGAGATCCGTCCATGTCAGAAAACTCAATATGGTTTTCATCAGCCCAATACAGTCTATGGTTGACATAATCTATTGTAAGAGCCATAGGTCTAGATATCTGTGTTTCTATGACAACTGTTTGACTGGAGCCATCCATACCAACACGGCCGATGTGAGGGTACTCGCAGCAATCAATCCAGTACAAGTATCTGTAAAACAAAATACAACAGCTGCTTTGTTTAGAGGTGCAAAATAATAATGATAATTAATTTATTTAGTTGATCACAAGAATAAATCACTACTTATTCTATATTTTTTCCATTTTCTAGACAGATTTTTTGACTTTCCTAGACCTGTCTGTAAATGAGTGTGCTAAATGTAAAGGGTTTGAATGGCAGAGTTGTCATGTTACCTGTGATTTCATCAAATTCATTATGGACTAGTAAAAAGTGCATTTAAGTTACTTAGTCTTGATACCTTCGAATTTGAATTACTGTCCAGACTGGACTTCACAAATCTCATATCCTGCAAAAATGGCATCATGGCTAAACTTATGACAAATATTGTATTACAGTTACTTTTTCTTTTAACACATATTATAAAAATCTGTTTTCTTGTTAATAGAAGTATGATGCAAATTGTATTACTTCAAGAAGTACTAGTTCCAAAACATTAGAGCAGTTTCTCACATAAAAGGCTTAAAAATGGATAAAGCACTGAGAAAGACTGTCAGAAAGCCAAGCAGCAATTTTCTCTTTAATATGCTATTTAGCCACAATACAGAGCATGTTTTAAAAAAGAAAAAAAAGAGAAAAAAAAGGAAAAACTCCTATTACTTGGTACATGGATGCATGTTGCTACTGCTGTATGCCATTACTTAGAACCTCAGGACAGATCTTTCCAGCTGGGAAGCTGATATGCTTCTACTCTAGGGGTTTTGGACAGGCTCTCAAAAACCCAGATGCAGCTCATATTCTTCATAGCCACCTGGAATACTATTTGTGTGCAGGAGAAAAAGGTGGCCCTAAGAACAGCTACAGGTATCCTGCAAAACACAGGTGCAATCTGTTGGCACAGAGCCTGCTCCACATCAGCAGCAGAGAAAGGGAACTTTCTCTACTGACTGCAACAGAAAACTTTTTCTTCAGAAACAGCATTACTGTTGTATGGCATCAGCAATATAATAGATGTAGCATTTCTCATTTGTGATGAAAAAACTAAGATGCAATTAATACCATTTCAAACAATAACTCTGAACTTGAAATGCAAACACAGTTTATATTTCCAGCAGCTTTCCATATTAAAATAAAAGAAGAAATGAATAAATACATTTATTAAAAAAAAGAAAAGAGCTTGGCCTCGGAAAGCTGAGTCTGTACACATGCTGCGCACTGAGCAGGAACACCAGAAGTGTATTACGTCTGTGTATACCTAAACCTTCCTGCAAGACTGGGACTCTCTGTACAAACTTCATAGAGTTGATTTTTGCATACACAGGGAACATATCCTGGATGCCCAGGCAACCAGAGAGAGATACCATGTATTGGTATCTTGAATACATTCAACAAATGTCTACATCCTCCCTGCCAAATTCTACAGGGAAGAAAGGGTACAGTTACAAGAAAATTCAGTTCTAGTTCTAAGAACTGGTAGAAAATGGCTTTTGTCTTAAAAATAGTAAAGTAGATAGGTGACATTTCTTAGCTAGTAAATACACTGCTTTTCGTTGTTTAGGTAGAGTCCAGTCCAACTCAACAATTTTCTCCTGTCACTGACCTTTGAGGTGATTTCTTGAGCCTTAAGATGTAGAGATGAAAAGAATCATTAATTTACCATGATGGTGTAAGAGTGTATTAAGACACTAAAATAGCGTTATTCATTCAATTTAGAGATGATCCCTAATGTTCCACAAAACAGAAAGCATTACATATGGAATTCAGATCTGAAAAGACAGAGGGCACACTTTCCATAGCTTATATTTTATTTATTCAGGGACTGGATAATACTTTAAGTATTACTATTCATAAGCGTTACTTTTCTTAATGATTATATGCAGCATAAATATTTATTTAAGAGAATACATTTGGTTAGAAATTCACCAGGTTTTAATGACTTTCAATTAAATATACACTGATGTTTTAGTGGATAGTTTTAATACAGATGATGGCTTACTGGTGAATTGAGAGGCCTCTGGTTATGAGGCATTAACGGCATATTGAGCCATGTAGACCCAGAGACCAATGGCTGTGGCAGGACACATTGTCACATAATCAGGAAACACCCCAGTGTTTTTATGTATTTTCTGTTTCAAGGACATAAAATCTTTCTTCTTCTATCATCTCAATTACATGGTTTATTTGAGTCTAATGCTGATTTGCTTTTGATCAAATAGAAATGGCTAGAAAGTTTGTTTCAACCAAACCCCAACCAAACAGAAAAAAAATAAAAAGGGCTTGTATCTCTTGGGGTTGCACAAAATTACTTCAGTGGTCCATTCCAACCTCAACCATTCCACGATTCTGTGAAAATCAAATATTAAATAAACGAAAGATGATTTATTTTCTTTATTTCTTTTTAAAATTCATAGTATTAGGTTAATTTTCTCAAGGATATCAATTTTATGGGAAAAATTACAATATTTTAATATTAAAACATAGCTGTAAAAAACATGTCCATGGTTCCTATAGCTGTCACACCAGTCAAGAAATCAAAAATGGTGGTGGTGCTCAAAACTGCACTCAGAATAAAAGCATAGGTTTATATTAATAAATAAATAAGTCATGCAATAATACGATTAGCAATTAAAGGTATCAGTAAACACACTACTTTAACTAGGCAGTTCTCACTTCTTATCATTGTGGTTGCAATAAATTTTCAGGCATATTGATCATTTCAAATTTCAAAAACCTAAAGTTAGAAACTAAGTCTCCTGAAATAAACTCCTTGTATTCTAATAATTAAACAGTCCAGTTATTAGACTTGCATGAAAATAAAACTTCAATTTTATAGAGTAAAAATGTGGGATTAAGCATTTTCACTCTTCAGTTACCACGCAAAAACTATTAAAAAAAAAAAAAGTCTTCTAATATGTGGTAGTTGAATGGCCTAAAGTATTTTGGAAGCTAGTAAACACAGAAAAGAGTGCTAACAAGACAGTTCACTTCAGTGAATAAACAAACCAAATCATAAGAATTGTCTGCCACATAATAGGAACTTTTTGTTATTTAGTAACACACTTCTTAAAAAAAGATAGGGATATTTTTTGAAATACCTTTTTTCCTCCTACCAAAAGAAAACATTTACAGAGTAGTGGATGTAATAAAACATGGTATAGTACCTGCATTCATCTCTCTATTATACCAATTTTATATGTAATTATGATATAGTAACCATTGGTAACACATTTTAGACAACTGAAATCCAATGTAGCTGCAAGTTAGATAATAAAAAAATAATTAGTATTTCCTATCTTAAAAAATATCTAAATATAAAATTAGGATTAAATATGAATTACTGCAAAATGGCTGCTTCATACCCAGCTTGAGGATCTAAGGACAGATCTCTAGGAAACTTCACTCTCTTGCTCACAAGGACGGTAGGGTATAAGCCGTTGAGTTTAGACACCTCAATAATTCTCTTTTCGGTGTCAGACCAATAGAGATTCTTCCCAACCCAATCGACAGCCAGTGCATTGGGAACAGCTGTATTGTGGACTACCTGGAAAAGCAAAAGTAACATAAATTATTCATCTAGATACCAGGAGAAGGAATAACAATTCAAGAGTTAATAATACCAGAATACAGAGATTGGTTGGATTTATGACACAGTGACACATAACGTGCGAAAGATAGGTGTTATGTCCTGTTAAACAATGACATTCTGAAGTAATGACACTCTTAAGTAACTGAGACAACATGAGACTTTCCTTACAGTAAGGGAGAATGGAGAATACCATGATGTAGTAAATATCACATTTACAGCTTCCCTGCATTATACACTAATTTTTAAGAATTTTGTATCTTTCATTTTTCATCTGAAGTTTCTAATTTTCCTTCTGTCTTAATTTAAAAAAAAAAAAGAAAAAAAAAAGAAAAATACTTTTTTTCCCCTTTACTAGTCTTTTTATTTTTCACAGAACAGAATGGAGATGAGGCTTCTCTCCCTGTAGCATGCCCTCAAACATGTCTGCTTATTAGCTCACCGGTTCTCTCACCAGTCTACATCGGCATATATTTCATTTTAATACCACAGTGGTGCCATATGTCATCATGACAGATAGACCATAAGGACACTCAACTCAGGCAAACAGAAAAAGATTACCTAGTTGGAAAGTAAATACTGTGCTTTTATTTCCAGTATTCATATGGCAGAAGAAAGAGGAACTTTCTAAGAATTATTTAAATTTCAAAAGGACTACATTATTAAGGAACAAACTAAGAGACAGAAGCAATTTAGTGGCCTACTGGAAAGCCTACACTCTACTGACAGGGATGAGATATTCTCAATGTTTTTGATGACTGGAATAATTCCAAGACTTGAACAAATACCGCTAGATATACATGATTACAAATCTCATCATGATTGTATGACTCAATCTTCCTTGGCTGTGAGTACTTAACCTTAAGTGTTGAGTGACATTTGAATATTCCCAATCATTAGAGTCCAACTTCTTCTAAGCTTAAAAAGTCTACTCCTCATAAGGTCTATTCTGACCTATTCTATTCCTGATTAGGTCTGTGCAACTAGAACTTAAGGGGGAAACAAAAATCATTGTGTGTGATACTTGAAAATATTTGAGATTTCTTAAGTACTAATAATGGATTTATTACTGTAGTGCGCATTCTAATTTATCGTCATCTTCACCACTAAAAGCATGTGCAGGAGAGTATAAACTTTACACATAAGCATGATTATGTATAAGTGAATGGGTTATTTTTAATTTTATTTACCATTTGAAGATACTGAAAAGCCTTCAAGATAAGAAGGGACACTGTGAGACGCTTTAAACCAATTTTCTATTTATGAATATGTAAAATCACCCTTTCAGGTGAACTTTTAGGTTACTTATTGCCTTATAATATCTTTTTGAAATTAAATCCAGGCATGCACCAATTTTTTAATATGAATAAAATACTTCACTTTCTAATACCTTAGCACTAGCATCTTCACTCTTCTATAAATGTGCAATTGCAGCAACTGCTGTGCTGTAACATGGGACATTTCACGTAGAAATGCATAGCTCTGCAAACTTAAGATAGTGGTTTAGCTACACTATCTAGAAGCATCAACCAAAGTAATTAGTCTCTCTTTTCTCTTGACTTTTCCTTTGGAGGGTCACTTTAAGCTTATTCCAGTCACTGTGATCACCAGTGTGACATTTAATGTACACAATCCAGCTTACTACAGCATTTTCCAATAACAGATTTCATTTGAATCTACAATGCTACACATAAAACACTGTGTTAATGTGTAATGAACACATTTATGTAAAAATCTTGGTGCTTCAATTGTATAAATATCTCCTCTGTGATCAGATGCAGAAGAAAAATAAGATGCTGTCACATTTCCAAGACTAAGAAAGCTAGAGCTGGTATGCTGAAAAGATGCTATCTTCTAAAAGGGAAATCCTGTGATATATTAAACTGTATCATTCACACTGATAGTGTATTTATTTATAGTAAATAGTAAAACAAAAAATTCATACTTCAAGGGAAAAGTCTGTCAACCATAAAACTTGTTTTTCATGACAAATAAAATATTTAAACAGGTTTACTGGGAAACTAATTATTTTCAATAACAATTATGAAATATGTGCTATGGTAACCTATTAACCTAAGTCAAAGAGAGATAAAATTATCATTTGGCACTGGACAAAAGACTACTGACAGAATATCAGACAGCTACATTATATAATTCTTGATAAATTTTTGCACACATTTTTAGCTTTCAGAGGCCAAACCTGGGCCAATTTTTTCAGTGAAAAAAACCCAAATGTCCTTATGAAAATTAAATACACTTATTTTCACAATTTTTGCTTTGAATTTGGCATCCTATTTGAATAAAAACTCTGTCAAGATGGCACTCGTTCCATAAATCGCAAAATGGTAATGTAGAGAAAAAGCAATATCCTCCATGCTCCCAACCTAATTTTCTTCTAATGTTTGTTCAAATTTCTGAAGTATTTCCTTAAAAATGGAATTATCATCACATCATTAGAAAGCAACAGGAGTGTTTTCTACTCTCCCACCTGGCAATTACAATTTTTTGTCAGGGAAAAATTCTTTGTTCTCCTTGAAATAGTTAAGATTAGAAAGAAAAAGTCTGCGGCATCCCCAGTCCGGAAAACATTCCCTAAAATAACAAAACACAGATTCATCCTGATCGGACAAGAAACTGAATAGGATGTTTCGTAAAATGTCTAAAGGCAATAAATATGATTTAAAGATTTAATGGATTTTGAATTCCACACTTGCCTGTCTCCTATTTTTTCTGCAGGAAGAATCTTTGCAGGGACTCACTAGAGTCTTTTGAGTGCTTGCTAGATTTTGGGTTTACCCCAATTGAATCAGAGTGCCATAACTTATGTTCAAACACATTTTTTAAGTTCTAAGAACATTTATTTCCATGTGAAGGACAGAAACAAGGTTCATTCATGCCAGTCTTTTTCAAACCTTAACCCTCAAAAAGACTAAAGTCGGTGTGTTCTGAGGATCTGCCAATTCCATGTACTAAGCTGCAAATGAAAAATAGAAATCTTTTCTCTCCATATAATATGTTGGTGTACAGCGAGCGAACAAAATTCACAGGATATGTTACTGCTCATTTGTTCCTTGTTTAAGATGGTTAGACATAAGAGAATAAGTAAAGAAGAATTCCTTACTGCTTATCACAAATTCTAGAAAAAAGATTCACTTAAGTCAACAAATGTACTTAACAGTGGATTTGTGAACTTATTCCACCACTGAGGTAAAACAGGCAGGCTGTGCAGAAATGGGAACACAGTTTCACCCTTGATTATTCACAGCAAAGACACTGAGTTATTTTAATTACCCGTGTAGTGGAGGTGAGACAAAAACAAACGGAAGACCACAGAAAACTGTATATGAAGAAATAATACCTCAGTGTATTTACACAGCTTACATCTAATTATACCTTTGGCGTCCTGTAAACTACACTGAACTGCCAGTTCAGTCAACTGTCAATTAAGCCATAAGGAATTTAGCTCAAAAATACAGTCCACTTAGTCCTTGTCTCTATTTCAAATATGATAGAAATGCAATTAAATTTTACTAGGACTTGCTAGCTCATGCTGTGTTTGTATGCACCTACCACAACCTCACAGTTTGGGTTAAAACCATGAAGTAGAATTTTCCCAAAATACTCAAAAAATTTAATTCTAGTAGTGACATTATTAATCCCCAGTTACCTTGATGTCACTTCCATTTAAACACATTCTGTTTATGCGACTGCCATTTGGTCTGCTGGAATCAATCCAATAGATGAACTCTTCTCTATAGTCGAAGTCTATTGCAATCACATTGTTCAGCCCCTACAAAAAGAAAAAAAGTCCATTTATTCAAATGTTTGAATGAAAACTGTTGGATAGCATTCAGAATGCAAAATACATTGCATGTCTTATTTTAAATGCTTTGTTTTATTGACTGCGTATTTTGAAGTACTTCTCTCATTTTTCCATATACTAATTGTAAACAATCAGAATAAGATAAAAATTGTAACAGAAATAAATATGGTGACAAAGAACTATCTCACTTCATAAATGCAGATGATGTATAAAACTAAATGAAGCTTCTGTGTTTTTCTTTCCTGTTATTAAAATGAACTTTAGCAGTAAATACTTTAACTTTTGGTCAATTTCTCTGTTAATGACTACCTTTGGCATTACTTTGGCAAACTAGATGACATTCATTTTATAACAATAAACTCAGAAATTTCATAAAAATTATTATCTTTACTTAATGAAAACATTTCATTATTGATATAAATTAATCAGGAATTCAAAACTGTGATGTTACAAAAAGGATAATTCTTCAATAAGGAGGTTTTCAGTTCTTAGATGCTCTATTATAGGTACTGTGTGCATATATATGTGTGTATACACACGCAGAGGTAGTATATACGTAACATGTGAAAGTTAGAGATCCAGCAGGCATCTGGAACTTTTCCATGGCTCCAATTACTAAGCCAATACATTGTAAGAAAGAGTGGTGATCATATTTGAGGTACTCCTACAGGTTGGAAAGAGCAGTCATATAATAATGGCTTTTCATCCTAAATGGCAGACATTGCACTCAGAGAATGGCTTTTCTGTCCTTATCTGAGAATAGGAAAGCCTTGCCTCACAATCTGCTTAACATTCTGATATGTCGTGAAATCACGATTATTCTTAATATACAAAGATGTTGTTATCAATCGAAGATGGAGTAGCAGCGGTAAGAAGAATGAATGCAGTTTCTACTCCTTTTAAAACCACAAGATCAGTTAATCAATTCCCTTATCAGCCCAATGACATTCTACTCTCAGCTCGATCGGCAACTTCCCTCGTTAATGTAATTCATAGTTGTAGAGGGGATGCGCTGGACTAGCCAGCTCTACAACAAAACAACAATATTTAATTGTATGGAAGGAGATACATGGCTTATCTGCCAACGACTACAGTGTAATACTGTAAATCTATCTTTTGATCAAAACAGAGAGGAAAGGAGTGATTAGGCTGCACAAACCATCATTAGAGAAATGCCTGAAACAATACAGTGCTGGAGGACCCTTCTCATTTCCAAAAATCACTTTAACAAAACCAACTGCAGTTCTGTCAGTCATAACTGTGCTGCAAAACGCTTTTCCTGTCTCTTCTTTTACTGTTAGTATAAATGCATCTACAGATAAGCCCCCATCCCAAATTCTTACCGAAAGAGACAACAGGTGAACGAATACAAAAGGCTACCAAAAATTTATAAAATTCTAGGAACCAAAGTCAGTAATTTGTGAAAAGTTAGCCTCATATCTACATATTCTATAACACCGTAAAAGTTCCTTAAGTATCCAGACTAATAAAGAGAATTGGCTGCCTGCAAGTCTTTGTTTTCAGGTGTTTTATTTTGGGTCAGTCTAGTTCCAGTATTTATCAGAATTAAAACTACAGGTAAAATTATTTCCATACGTCTGCAATAGAGCGCTCTGTCCAGACAACATCTCCTCTTCGTGACCTACATGTCACTTTTAAGTCCTTCTAGCACAATTCTTTGTCATTTCTTGTGCAATCTGCTTTTAGAAGGAATAGGGAAGCTTTCAAATGGCATCAGCTGCGTTAGACTCATCTTAAGCCTGTGGGTTGGTTTGTTTCTGTTACACAGAGCACACGGTATCCTAGGCTGTGATTTGCGTTGCCTTGGTGCCCCAACTAAAAAAATGCCGGTAAAAATCACAAATAATGAGAAGGAAGATTCTATCTACTCTGCCTATGGAAATTCTAAGAATTTTGATGACGAGGAGTGAAGGAAATGGAAGGCAAAGAACATACATGAGACGCAATTCAAACAGTTGTACTGTTTATGTATATTTGGGAAAAAAAATAAGAGGAAAAAGCTGGCACGTAACAACTCAGAGTAGACTGAATGAATTCCTACTTTCAGCTCCTTTACTCTGAGTTTATATATGAACAACTGTTAGAATGTCAAAGCACAGATCAAATACACAGAGAAGGGTGGGTTTGCTCCTTTGCCAGAGCAGCTCTGGTATTTGCCTTCATCTGGTTGATGTCTAAGAGCCGACCCATTGTAACATTACAAGGACAGCAAGAGGTCCTGATGAGGAAGACAGCCCACCTGTTCTGCTGGTATAGCTCCCTCTTTTGCTTTCACATTTGGATGCTTTTAAAAATGCTGTATTTGTAGAAGAGGTATTTATTAGACTAGTGAATTAACGCGATATGGAAAACACAGATTCTCTTCAGCGGCTGGAGCTACACAGTCTCTAACATACAGAAGAGGAGTCGATTAAATTCAAGACTGATGGAGCTCTGAGCCAATCTGTGAGCACCAACCATAAAGAAAATTTACTGTTGCTCCCCTCTTTTCACAGGCTTCTATTAATAGATATACCAGCAAAAGAGGAGAGAGGCAGTGAGATGTAAATGAGAGGTAGTCAGAAGGATTTCGGAAGAACAAACAGACTTTAACATAATGCTTGCTATGCTTAAATAAAGTCAATGTTTAATGCAAGATGGTTAATTCTGTAATTACTGTTGTGAAGACCTGAGCACCTCACGTGTGACATTAAGATGCACAGCTTACTGACACAAGAAGTCACAGAAAGCCTGACGCTACTGACTGGCAATAACTGATTTTGTAGTCTTTCTACAATTCATTAATTAGTACTCAAGGAAATAGATGTTTTTATTACAACAAATTTTGGAACTCTAATCTGTGGTAAATAACTACACTTAGGTGAAGCATAGAAGCAGAGCAGAAACTGCTAAAAATGACAGCTCTGTACTTACTGGGTGACTTTCTATTTTTGTAGGTTTTTTTTCCAAATAAGGGTTTTGGTTTTTTTTTTCCTGTTATAATAATTTAGAGCAATTATTTAAAAAAATTAGATTTAGCCAAAGATATATGTTCATGTATTGTAATGTTGTAAATCTTGGAATTGTCTGTCTAAATCAAAAATAGATTTGGAATATGACAGTTAAGTAGCCCAAATAATACATGGCCAAATAGTGTTTTGGGGTTTCTTTTTGGTTTTGGGGTTTTTCTTTTTTGAAAACTGAAATATACAAATTGTGCAAAACATATTGTGATGAAAGAGGATCACAAATAACATATTTTTTTTTGTACATCAGAATGACTGACGAAACAACTGCCTGAGCATTAATCATGTCAAATTCAGATAAAATAGTCGATTTAAAGTATTATAAATACTCTGAAGATACTGCAGTTGTTCTATGGTGAATACAACGCCAATTGTAGGATGATGTTTCTCTCAGTTGCACACTTTAGAAAAGAATAAAAGTATTGAGTTAAACTTAGAGCATGGTACTATGATTATACCTGTTTCAACAAAGTGTAGTTGGATCCATCAGTGCTAATTTTTCTTATTTCATGATGATCAGCCAGAATTAAGAAAGGTTCCTCATCTAAACCCCGGGAGAAAGAATATATTAGACTAGCTTTTACGTTAATTTATGGAAAATCAGGAATACAATGCTGAAATACAGATGGTTTGAAAAATAAATGTTACATGCTCTGATCAATGTTATGGATGAAAGAAATATTTAAAACATTCAAATGTTCCAAGAAAGATCAATGATGCAGTATAAAAATGAACAAAGCAATCAATTAGTATATCTTTCAATGTAATTTAATTTTTTTGCCTTTGTAATATGGGAACTATACTGTATTTTATGCTAATTTATTGTCAGAGATGAAATTTGAAATATATTTCATACCACTGGTTTTCATTTCAACAGTCACTTTCAATTATCACTAAGACTATTATTTGTTACGGTTGCAAACCAAGCACGCTTTGACCACTGCTTTCTGAGATTTCAATGTTCTGAACAGTATAGACATGAAGAAACAGCTATTTGGACAAACCTTGACTCTCTAATTCTGAACTGAAGCCAGATTTGGCTTTTTTACCCCTAGTTTTCTAGTTTATCAAAACATATTCCTTCATGCCATCACCTCTTTGAAACAGCTCTGACACTGACATACATAATAGTAAAAAAAAATTAAAAATATGTATTTTTCAAAAAGCTGTCTTTATTTTAGCTCTATTAACAGAGAATGCATCTAAAATAAAAAAAAACAACCTAATAATAATTAAAAAAATATTTAAGAGTTGTATCTGCTGCTCATACATTCTGGAACGTAATGTGTTGTCCAACCTACTCTGCTCTTGTACTGAATACATTGTACCACCTCGCTTACATTTTATGTTCAACTCAAGACATTCTCCAGTTCTTAAATGATCCAGGGCATCATCCTCAGCACTGACTGTTAGTGGTTTGTGGAGAACGGCTGTAACACTCTGCGCTGTTGTAAAAATTTCAAGGTATTTTATGCAAAGAAATCAGCGTTAGGCCAAACATTCACGTTGGCAACTCCTCACAGCACAACCATCCCTGCCACAGCACAAACAGCTTTGTCATGATCACTTTTGAAGTTTGATGTATTACAGCTCCAATAAACTGTGCTATCATGTGTCCCAACTCCCCTTCTCATTGAAGTGATCTATGGCTTCTAAATGGATGCATGGCTTGCAAAGCGTGAGATAGGAGTGAGGCAAAAAACAGATCCTGTCTTTCTGCCCTCTCCTGTCTTTCCTCTGACTTCTCAGGGAAGCACCTGAGACAGGAATAAGAGGCAGACAGAGGTTCCAGTCTTCTTGTCATTTAGAAAGAAAACAGAAAAAATTTGATATTTAAAAAGAAAACACAAACAACTTTGTGCAAGACTGGAATAAGGAGGAGTCTGCTCAAGCTGAAGGCTGTCTGCACTATGAAGGAAATCCAGCAGAACGCAGTGATTTTTTTTTTTCTTCTTTCCTGTTGACATTTTGCTCTTCCTGCACTGATCTAGCGAATCCTACTCACTGAAGCACATAAAAATAACATCAGTGGCACAGACAGAGGGGTGAGGAAATAACGAGTGTTCTTAAGTATCTTGAACTTCACTGTGTATTACGTGTAAGACTGGCGGATTTCATGTGCTATAGGAATAATGGATTTTGCAAATTCTATTTTTTTTTTCCTGTTCCTCCTTTTCATACCACGATGTTTGAAGTACATTCTGATAGTCTAAAGTTGATGAAATAAAACAGCAGAAGTCTTTTAGACACCTATCATAAACATACTATTATCATGTGACTCACAAGTAGAATTAAGTGATGCATTTCAACTTTCCTAATACTTTTTCTCAAAAAGATACTAATTCAAACTTTCATAATCCACTGTAGCTATTCACTACAAATTAGTTGAGCACAATACATACTAAAAATGGAACTTATTATTACATTCAGACGTTGACTCACGTTCCTATTTTTTATTGAAGTACAGTGTGCTTCAAAGTAACTCTAGCTTGCATAAAAGGGTAACACAGTTTGTGGGGGCTAAGGTATTTTACAAATAATTTTGGATACAGCTGTGGATTTAAAAAAAAAAAAAAAGTGATACCTGAAAGGGATTTGCAGCCATTTAGGTTATCAGGTTGTATTTCATACCCATCTGCACACAAGCATTTGTAGGTTCCATATGTATTGATGCACTGCTGGCTACAGGGAAATCCAGATGAACATTCATCAATATCTGAACATGTTTAACCAAATACATTCAATCTGAATTACTCATTGATTCTGTTTGTTATTTTATGAACTTTTTTTTGAATAGATATACATAGAGAGAGAAACTTTTTCATGTAGTCTCAGTTTTTTCAAGTAGCATCTTAACTACATTGCTGTTTACAAGCAGACATACCTACACCACTTTTCAACTATTGCTGGTGCGATCCTAAGTACCATTCCCTCCCAAATAACCCTGTAGAATGAGTAATTATTCTTTTTTCTTTAACTGAGGAATAAGTAAACCACATCTTTTCGAAAATATGGAAAGGATTCTTCCATGAAAATAATGATGGATGGACACCATCCCATGCAGACATCCAACAGTTTTATTCTGCAACTAAGGCAATTATACATTGTTTAAATATTTCTGTAAATGTCTTCGACTTAGAAAATCAGAGAGAACTCTTATTCCTGCTATACACTCCAATGTGTTTTCTTTTTTCACAACTGATTTCCAGTGCTCTGTCTACAGCAGTATGATTTGTTGTATTTAAAGCATTGTATGTTCTTTTCAACAGGTTTGAAGTATGTATTATACCAGGTTTTTTTATACAATTAGCAATTGTTTGCTTACTGGAAATAAAAAGTTGAATGTTCTTACTATGGTAGGTTAGCTACTTCATTACAGTGAAGTACAGCACACTGGAGTTTTATTATAATCACGCAGTAGTTAAGAAGCAGTTAAGAATTAAGAATTTGCATTATATCACACCACATTTTGTAATTATTCACCTTGTATCCAACAGGAAGATCCTGACAATCTTGAGAACAGCCACTAACTTTCTTACTGAGGCATTCATTAACGTGGCAGCTTTTCTCATCAGATCCATCACTACAATCTTCTTTGTTATCACAAACATCACTTTGAGGAATACACTTGCCATTTTTGCACATAAAAAAAGAGCTGTTACATGACTGCTCTGGAAAACAAAAAAAGAGAACACAACTTTGTGTAGTCTATTAGTATTTGGAATTAATTTTCTCATGGACCAGCTGCAATGTGCACATGTGAGAGGAAACAATTGTGTAAAAAATGAATATGCATTTCTTACTGATAGTATTGTAATACGTTTTTACATTTCAGTGTCTTTAAAGGTTTATTCCTCTCCTGGAAAATGTGTTCGACTTATTATTCCCTCCTACACATGTGTTTTCATTTAATTGAGAATCCCCTACTCTATCTCTGCCCAATACAGTTCTGTAGTTTGCAAAACTTGAAAAGCAGGGCTTCTCTCCCCTGGATGCTCAGGTGTTTAGTAACATGACTGACTGAATTCTGACACATTCCTTGTCTGAGCACATGCACATGCATACATGTTTTTTTTCTTCTTTGGCAAAACTTGGAATGCACTGGCTCAGCTACATCCAGGTTCTTCTAATCAGAATCAGAACACTTATATTTAAAGCAGGTGTGTTGCCTCACCTCAAAGAAAATGAGTGATTTCCATCAAAACTGGTATGAAAGGATAGGCTACTGTACAATAAAGTCGTAAGATCTAGACAGGAGAACTGGTCTTTCAAAAAGCCACAGAGTAGGATATGATATGCACACTGGGGTTCATTTTCCTCTCAAAAACCTCAGAGACTCAAAGACCTCAGCAAACTTATGCCAGTAGAAAATAACAATAAAACAAATCACATTTGGTCAATAATTTACTAAAAAAAAGACCAATGTTTAATATAGAAATTAGGAACATAGGAAGAACACCCTGACATCCCCTTTTGTATGATCTACTTCTGTGTGATGAGTATATTAAATACACTAAACATTTTCAGGGCAAGCTATAAACTTTAATATCATATAGTATAATATAGTATCACCTTATCTTAGTACTAACAGAATTTATGCATTAATGAACTAGCAGCCATCTTACGCCATAGGAACTGGTGGCTTGAACTTTGTGAGCTGAGGTTTTGGATGCTGAGCACTGACAACACATTCTCCTTGCAAGACATAAGGAATATCACCATGAAAGCCCTGGAGATTTAAGCTATGAGGTTTTACATCTGCCTATCTACAATCCTAAAACATTGCTTTCCAAAAAAGAAAGGTCACACATGTTACTCAAAAGATTAAATACAAACCTGAACTTTTGCATTTTATGTTTATAGGTGCTTCGTCAGAATGGTCTGGGCAGTCAAAATCACCGTCACATTGCCACTGGGAATTTAAGAGGCATCTTCCATCAGCACAAGTGAACTCTCCAGGACGACAGTGACGATACCCTAGAAATACAGGAATTGGTGACTTCATACTTTCAACAAAAAATTTTGTGTATACAAGGCAAGATAAGTAAAAGCATCTTCAGCTCCATGAAGAGATACAAAGCATTATATGCTTATAACGAGTGTCGACCAACAGAGAGAGAAATCAAATGGCTCTTGCAGCACAGTGTAGTCACGAAACAAGTCCCACACATGTAAGACATATTTAAGCAGCTGTCAATCATAAATACGTTTTCTTTCAGGTATAATTTAACTTTTTTCTATTACTAGGCAGTAGCTTTCTAGCAGACATTTTAGAAATTCATATTCCCAACCAATATTTTTGTGATAATGCTTTCTGCTATATGCTTTCCCTTAAAAACCTGCAGAACACTAATCATTTTAACGACACCAAACATGCATTTTCTAGGATGGCCACAAAATCAATATATATATGAAATATATACATTTCCAAAGATAAAGTGGTTTATTTATTTATAGTATTTATTTATATTATTATTTATAGTATATAATGAAGTAAAGAAACCATAGACAGACATTTGCTTCTTAGAACACCTAAGAGCGTTTAACGTAAAGTTCAAAACCAACAAAGTAATGGAACAATTCAGAAAATTCAGCACAAATTTAGTTTTTTCTACTCAATTTTGAAACATGAAAGTTGAAAAATTACCAGAGGGATAATCAGCTTCTATCCATAAGATATTAACTTTTAACATTCATTACATTAAAACAACTACTACAAATTTTATGTTCCCGTTGAGGAAAGAAAAGTGTAACTGTTCCTGTATTCTGGGTGTATAAATTCTGCCTCAGATACTCTGTAGTCCTTTAAAAGTGTCTTGAAAGCAAGCCTTGATTTAGTTTAAAACCCAAGAAAAAAAATATGAAGTAAATATGTTTATAAAGTAAGGATTACATAGCAATACTCATTCTGATTATAAAGAATGATTTTGCATTTTAAAAAAAATATGCTGAATTATTTCCTCTTGAAAATACCACAGATTTTAAACTCATAAAAAATATATCCAAATTATAATAACTACTGAAGCGTCGATTTAACTACTGAAGCTGTGAACAACTGAAATGAGCACTCATAACTTTCTAATCTCTAGAAGTAGAAAGTTAGTATTTGTTCCAAGTTAATATTTGTTCTTTTTTTTCCTAATTATTGCGTTTCCTACTATGTAATATAGCTTTTTTTTCTGATAGCAGATGGAGACATAACATTTCAGAAAGTTAGTATTTGTTCCAAGTTAATATTTCTTTTTTTTCTAATTATTGCATTTCCTACTATGTAATATAGCTTTTTTTCTGATAGCAGATGGAGACATAACATTTGACAGTCTGGGATGAGATATCCCTCTCCATCAGGAGCTTTAAACCTCTTGTATATCTTTAGCAGTCATTTAGAAATGCGTCAATGTACTATTTTCAAAATGCAACATGTTATTACATCAATTAAATACATTACTTGGAATTAAAATAATTCTGTGGCATCCTGAAGGTTTGTGGTTTTTTTCTCTTTTTACATAGATCACGCTTGAAAGATTGGCTGGCTTGATATGGAAAAAAAAAGGTGAAACATTTTGGTTGTCTGAGACTCCTTTGAGTGGAAGTTTTCACAGACCAACAGCTTTACTTCATGCCTGCAGCATGGCACAAGCAAGTCATCATCAGAAAGGTCATTACAAATGTGCAGAACAAGGGCCTCTGCTTAATATTGTTTCTGTTCTGGATGACAGGACATAAAGAAACTGGAAACTGAAACCAGAAAATCCTTCCTATTCCTGTATTTGTCTTTTGATCAATCACATAAACAAGGTATTTAATCTTCCTGATAGAATTTCATATTCTTGAATATAATTCCTAAATTTTTTTTTCATGTTCAAGAGCATAAGAAATACCTTACAGGATGAGACAGTGGCCCATCTAGCTCAGTATTCTGTCTCTGATAGCAGCAATAGGAGATGCAATTTAGGGAGAATGTATTTTGTTCTTATGCTCTTCCCAGCTTG